ATATCCCATAATTATTAGATGTACCAAAAAAACAGTCATTGAGCTGGAAAAGATGAACATCATTTACAAACTAAAGGACATGTTAATTTTTTTTTTCTTTTACTAAACCATCTTAGATTTAGGAGTTATATTGGACCTGATTAATCTAGAGTAGTCACATCAAATCCTATAAAAGAGAAATTTTTTCAATACTTATCTCTTTATTTACAAAATTTGAATTCAAAACTTTATTTAAAAGGAAAGAAACCGAACTCCTTTCGTTTAAACTAACAAGTTGTTGATTATAAAATATGTTAATTGAGACTCCATTTAATATTATTGTAATTTTCAGTTTTAGTTTTTATAAAGTTTGCATTATTGAAAATCAAAATTAAAAATAAAAATTAACAATTTATTTATTAAGGTGAGTTTCAACTCTAATAAGAAAAAATATAAATTTGTTTAATAGTATTAAAAGTATTTTTGTTCTTATTTATTAAATAATTATAACAATAAATCACAAAACCACATAAAAGTCAATGAATTTTTTTGGTTAGAGTTACAAAATTTATAAAAATTGAACTTAAAAATCAAATAGCAGAATCACACTAAACACAACCTAAATTTATGAGTTTCCACTTTTAGGTCACTTATAGGTTTTTCTTTTTTTTTTTTTTTTCTTTTCAATGTGGACAATTTTCCTCATTCAATTTTCACTCAATTCACAGGAGAGCCTCCCACTCCACAGTAGTGATAGAATCACAGAGGACTTGGCTCGGGCACGGTCCCTACATAGCGCCGATTTCATCCTTGCTTTAATTGCTATAGTTAAAATGGACAAAGGCTTTAAAAAAAGAAAAAAAAAAAGCCAAAAAAAAAAAGGGAAAGAAGTTGAATAATAAGGAAGATGAATCTGTTCATACTCTGATACACATATATTTTAATTTTACTGTTGTTTATTAATTAGTACTAGTTATTAGCTAAGCTCAGCAAGTCATTGTTTAAGTATTTAACAGCAATGCTTTGTTGAATTTTAAGGTTATTGCATATATTAAAAAAAAATTAAGGTTAGGTAGATGTAGTTCTCATAGTTTGGATAATTGTTTATTATCCTGTAATCTTATTCTTCCTAACAAGTGAAAAGTAGAACTGCTAACTTTGCATTTTAAGTGATTTGGTTGTTTTAATTCATAAAATAAAAATAAAAAAGTTATTTGTATATCATTATTTTAATGGGAATATAAATTATTGGCTTACTGTTTACTTTCTTAATTTTCAGTGGAAGAATATGTTTGTTTCTAGTAAAATGTAGAAATATTCAAATGAAAGTTGACGGTCGAGGATTAAATTAATGGGCAAAATAACCTTAAGACCGGTTAGTTGTCCACCATTTCTTTGGTGCCTTTCGGTCTCAGGGCACAATTTTTATTTTCAAAGAATGAATTATGCCAGCACTTATCTAACAATTGGTACATAAATCTTAAATAGATTGAAACATATTAATAATTAAATAATATATAAGATTATATAAAAAACCTTATAAAAATTTATTTTTTAATTATTTTATTATCTAATAATAACATATGAAAATTAAATACGAACAAGTTACAAGTATAGTAAGTAAAATCTAAATTTATGAGTATCCCCCTATAATTTTTGTTTAAAGAAATTCACAAGTTGAAGGCCCAAGTGCGATGAGGCAGGAAGAAATGGAACCATAACAAGGAATGCCAAGAAGTTTTCTACGCAAAAACTGGCTTAAAATGCAGTGGCCCATGTATTAAACTTATCTCAGCATCCTATATCCACTAGGTCCAAGCCCACAGCAGCCCTAAGACAAAGCCGAGCCCCCCTCGTCGGTTCACCTGCCATACTACCGGTTCAAACTATCCCATCTTCCTCTTTCACCAAAGCACACCGTTTAAGCAATGGGTATGCATACATATCCATTTAAAAATAAAGAAAATCCAAATCCCCATTTCAGCCGACACACCTCTTTTCGGCGACACTGCCGATCAACACATCCATCTACTTTACCATAACTTGCTTTCATCCTTGTGGTTAGAGACCATAGCACCTATGTTTTATTTCTAAAACGTCAAGATTCGAGTCTTGGTAATGTTCTAGTCATCATTCCAACTAAACACATCCATCTACTTCGATCACGAAACAACCACCACAACCACGGCTTGCAGACGGCTTAACCACCACCAAAGGTCCATCTTTCATCCTTTCCTCACTCTTCTCTTCTTACCAGATCTTAGGCAAGGCAGCCGTTCATGACGCCGAGATGATACCGACAGCTAATTAAAGCAACTTTAGTCCTCAAAAAGATAAAAACCAATCACAATCACCAGACATCGATGTAGGAAATAGGCCTATTTTGTAATTTTATTTTATATTAAGGGCTTTTATGTAACTTTACATTTTATATAACCTAATATAAATATGCTGCTAAGGGTGAGCAGCTCGGCAAGTTCTTTTGCACCCTCCACTTCCGCCTCACTTTACAATCGAATGATCACAAAGAGCTCATCTAAGATATTTAGTGGTTCTCTTGACATAATTTATGTTTCCTTTTTCCTGAGTATTTGTTGAGGTTTCTCAAAAAAAAAAAAAAAAAAAAAGTTTAAGTTTGACAAAGTCCTCTGTTTTTTAACATTTTGTCTAGCATGGTTTCTTAAAAATTCAGTTTAATCTTTGCTGGATTTTCATACTTAAATCTTCTCAATCTCACTGAATTGAACTACTTTACAGTGAATACCTTATCACCTTCTTTGCTTTTTCCCCTTCTCTCTTTGGAAATACAAAATTTGCTGGAAGGAAAAAAAATTTGTAATTCACATCAACTGATGAAGTTGCAGCGCAATTTAATAGTATTGTTTAATCAATCAATAGTTTGATATACATCGTTAATATTACAGTACCACTTACCTGCCAATGTATTTTGTTGATAGTTGCTATAATGCTTTGCTTTCTAGTAGTGAGCGCAACACGTTAATTCCACCATTCCGTAAACCAAACGGCCGACCAAGGTCAGTCTTTTTTTCCTGGTATATGAAAACAAAGTCAGTCTTCTTCCAGCGTTTTCAATGGATTTAGTAGCTTCAATGTGAGCCAACGTTTACAGTTCATGAAGGCCCATACGATTCATGAGCCAAGCTTAAAATGCAGTGTCTGACTTAACAATGAGGGCTGGGGAGTGCTGTCAACTGTATACGTTGGTTCACTCTTTTTTTTTTCTTTTTTTTTTCATTTTCCTTATGATTGGTCACTTGTCATATGACTTACGTCCAAAATATGTGATTGATAATTGATAGTGAAATTTTAGTTAAAATATTTTATTAAAATTTAAAGTTAAAACTAATCACATAAATATTATAAGATAGGTGGCTTAATTATAGAAACTTCAGAAAATGGGACTATATTGAAGAGATTAACAAGTTGAAGGCCAAAGTGCAACAAGGAAGAAAGAAATGGAACAATCCAAAGAAGTTTTCTACTCCAAACGGGCTTAAATTGCAGTGGTCCATGTATTAAACCAATCTCAAAGGCCCATATTTACTCGCTACCTGTTCACGGGCTTGAAATTCACTTGCCCACAGCAACCCCAATCGAAAACCGAGCCCACCTCAGTGGTTCACCTGCCACCGGTTCAAACCAGCCCAAGTGCCCAACCCTCTCTTCACCACAACACACCGTTTAAGCGATGGGTATACACTGTATATACCTTTGAAAAATTAAAAACAACCTAATCCCCATATCAGCCGACGCGCCTACTGTCTCCTCTGCAACACCGCCGATCAACGCCTCCGTCCACTTCGATCACGAAACAACCACCACAACCACAGTCTGCGAACGGCTTAACCACCACCAAAGATCCATCTCTTCATCCTTTGCACACTCTTCTCTCCTTACCGGAATCTCCAGCGAGGCAACGTCGTTTCATGACGCCGAGATCATGCCGAGACCTAATGAAGGCAACTTAAGTCCTCAGAAGGGTAAAAACCAATCATAATCACTAGACATCGCGTGGTTTACTTGACATAATTTATTTTTCGTTTTTCATGAAATCATGAGTTTTTGCAGAGGAAAAAAAAGGTTCGAGTTTGACAAAGTCGTCTTTTTTTAACATAATTTCTTTAAAATTTCAGTTTAATCTTCTCAATCTCGCTGAATCGAACTGATTTACAATGAAAATGTTATCATTCCTTTGCCTTATTTTTCCGTCTCTTTTTCAAAATTAAAAATTTTCTCGAAGAAAAGTAATTAGTAATTCACATCTGCTAATGAAGTAGAAATGCAATTTATTCATGCAGCTTTATGGTTCAATCCAAACAATACATTGATTCTGCACTCTCCTTGAAATATAATCCCCACACACAAAACAAAATGAAAAAAAAGAAAAAAAAAAAAAAAAGGAGAGAAATGTAGGAACAAGAAATACAGAACAAAAGCTACCACCAATAGAGATGAACATTCACCTTCACTGGATCCTCCTCATCCTTCTCCCCCTTGACAGCCTGATTCGGTAAGTCCTCATCAACCACTCATGTCTTCTTGCAAAAACAATGTTTCCAATCACCACACCAACAACAAATCCACATCCATAACCCAACGCCACTGTTTTCCAACCAAATTCAGCTAGCAATCCAGAGTCTTCATTTCCTTTAGAGGTTGAAGATGGCGGAGGCAAGCCCTTCGAGTCGTCACATTTCCTTGACAATGGTAATCCACACAGCCCTGAATTCCCATAAAATGAGCTGTTATCAAATGTATCAAATTGCTGCCCTGTCGGAATAGTTCCTGTCAATTGGTTGTGGGAGATATTGAAGACTTCAAGGAAATTGAGTTGCGTTAGCTGCGTGGGAATGCTTCCTGTGAGCTTGTTTTGAGAAAGGTCTAGAGCTTCAAGATTTTTGAGATCTCCTAAGGCCTGTGGGATTGGACCAACAAGGATGTTATTGGAAAGGTTAAGCAGTTGAAGTCCCTTTAAGCTCCCTATTACATCTAGAATCTCACCCTCAAATTTGTTGCAAGAAAGATCAATGGCTGAGAAAATCTCTAATACCTTTGCATATTCCATCTTCACTCCTTTGTTTGTTATTGTCATTGAGTAAGGGTATGGATTGGTATAGATGCCACCATCCATCAATTGAAAATAGTCAGATGTATGCCAGTATACTGTGTTCGCCTTATCAACATTGGCAATGGCATCCCACATCTTGAAATATTCTATTGGTAGGAGACCAATAAATCCATTATAAGAAAGATCAATGATTCGAAGATTAGGGAACCAAGCATCTGACTTTGGAACATTGATTGGACCATAGAATCCATTGGAATGCAAAATGAGAATCTTCAAGTTGGGAAGAGTTCCCAACCAAGAAGGGAAGGTATCTCTTATATGATTGTTACCAAGATCAAGAAACTCCAGCATTCTGCAATTGGTCAGTGATTTTGGTAACTTCCCCTGTAAATTATTCTGTCCCAATTTTATCTCCTTTATATTGTTTCCAGCTACCCAAGATGTAGGAATTGGACCTTCAAAGCTGTTTTCTTGCAAATTCAAAATCAACAAGGACTTACTAAAGTTGCTAATACATTGTGGGATCATTCCATGGAGATTGTTATGAGATAGATCAAGAATTACAAGAGAAGTCCTACTGCAAAACTCAGGAGGGATTTCTCCACTGAATTTATTTCCAGAAACTAGAAAGAAATTGATGGAGAATGGTGGGATTGGTAGTGACGCTTCAAGCATGTTAAAACTAAGGTCTAAAATGTATAATGCACTAAATGAAGGAAGACAAGCTGAAAATTTTTCAATGTTTGTGAAGGAATTATGAGAAAGGCTCAAATGCCACAAACTTTTATTCAATTTACATATCCATTGTGGTATCTGGCCTGTAATGTCATTGAAAGGAACTTCAAGGGACTCTAGTTGGTCTTGGTCCTGCAAAAAGCCTGGAAAATCTTTTAGATTACAAGAACCAAGTCCTAGAGCACTTAACTTTGCAAAAATGGTGTTGGTAGTATTCCTAGTTTTGATTACCAATGAAAAATTGTTGGAGGATAAGAGCAAAGTATTCAAGTATTTGAGTTTAAGAAATGTCTCAATCTCAATTGTACCAATGAAGCTATTTTCTTCAACTACCAACTGCTGAAGCTTGGTAAGATTGCCAAGAGAAGGTGGTAATAAGCCTGAGAAGTTACAACCATAAACATACAACTGCTCCAAAGAGCTAAGCATTCCAATTGAGGTTGGTAGCTTGCCAGAAAAACTTGTAATGCCAACTCCAAGAGTCATAAGTTGGCTATTAAAGTGAAATTCAGGCAAATTACCCATAAGACCATGGTTGTAACTCACAATAAGGACTTGAAGTTTTGGTAGTTGGAAAATTGCACTTGGGAACTCTCCAAACAATCCACAACTACCAAGACGAATGGTCCTCAAGGAGGACATATTTGCTAACATATTAGGAATTCTAGAATTTATTTTAACACAAGTTAGACGAAGATATTCCAGGCTTGTCATATTTTCTATTAGGCTTCTCATGTTTGGCCTTTTCAATTCCAACAATCCTTCATCTAAACCGAAAATACAGGAATCACTTAGGTCAAGGGTGGATAAGCTAGCAAGTTTTGAAAGTTCAAATGGTATTTGTCCAGAAAAGAAAGATTTAGAGAGGTTGAGATAAGTTAAAGTTGTAAGATTTGCAAAAGCATATGGAATCTTAGAATAATTGAAGTGATTGAAGGCAAGATTAAGGTGTTGAAGATGAATGAGGTGGAAGAGGCTACTATTGGAATTGATAGAACCAAAAAGACAGCTACTACTGAGATCAAGGCCTATAACATGACCAGTGTCTTGGTCACACCATATGCCTTCCCAAGAGCAACAATCCATCGCTTGAGATTTCCAAAGATTGACTTTATGATAAGCACAAGGATCATCATCAGAAGAAGCATGCTTATCAATGACAAAGCTTTCTTTGAATTGTAACAAGGCAACGCGCTCATCTCTCTGACACAATGGATGTTGGAAACATGGTTGAAAGAAAAAACCTAGCAAGATAGTAAAAAACAAGAAGTAAGCAAAATAGGACACCATAATTTGTTCTTGTGTTTGGATTTTTGTACTCTTAGAGATGCAAGAAGATCATGCATGGTGAAGGGCTTATATAGACGACATTATGTTGAATTGGAACAGTACAGAATTTTTTAATTTTGCAAAATTCATTTCTTTCACAACTTCTAATTTTGTGTCTCCATAACTATATACAAATGCAATTACATTAGACAGGTCTAGAATTTTTAGTTAATTTTTTATAAAATTAAAATTCAAATAAAAGTAACCTTTAACCACTTTTTTTATCTGTCAAAATACAGGAGTAGTTTAGATTAATATTTTTAATATAGTTGGTAATTAATAATTGATAATTATTGTTATTTATAATTTAAAATATCTAACTTATTTAATTAAACTTAGTAATTGATAACTAATTTCAAGAGACCAAAACAAACACTCCCCATAAACTAAATAAAGAAAATTCAAGTTGCATACAATCAACTGGAGAACATGCTTTCTAAACCAGGGACCCTTAAATGGGAGAGGTCCCAAACGATCAAAAAATTTACAATTTAAACTGTAAAATATTTTTTTTATTCCCATTCTGTACCTAATAATGAGCCTCTCTCCCCTTTTAAGGATCAGTGTTCAATTGTTCCCATTTTGTACCTAATAATAAAAAAGTAAAATGACGAGTTTGTCCGAGACAAATAATTGACTTACCATCGTTTCTTGCAAAATCCCTCTCTTGAATATTTATTAATTGGATTTTTCTATGCGCACCCTAGATATAAATTAAAAGTACATTAATTATATATTTTTAATTAATTTATATAAAAAATGTTTTAAAAAAATTAATTTA